TGTTGATATTTTTTATTCTTTCCTGAATCAGTTAAGTCATCAGTTTGTGTCTTTCAAGAAATTTGTCCATTTCTTCTAGATTTTCTAATTTGTTGGTGTACAATTGTTACTTAATTCTTCTTTTTAATTCATTTGTTTCATTTAGCATTTATTGAGTACCATTTGTCTGTATACATATGATTAATAAATTTCATATGAACAAATAAGATACTTATGTGTTTATATTATATGACATATAATATATAAATATATATGACATTTATATATAATATATAAGTATATACATTTTCATTTAATTTTTATAACAACTCTAAGATAAAAGTGGCATTATTTTTGCTTTGTTAAAAGAAAAGAAAAAACTAAAAGTCAAACATGTTGATTAACTTTTCCAAGCATTCTCATCTAGAAATTAGTAGAGACAGAATTAAGATTGAAGTTCTCTGATTTGATATTTGACACTCTTGTGGACATGATCTAAGTGGGTATGACATTAAGAAAAGTCTAGTTTTTTTCTGTATAAAAAATGTGGTTTATGTGTATGGGGTTATCCAATGACATCTTGTAAAGCTAGGATTTCTACCTCTTCCAGAACAAAAACTGAGATTTATAACCACTGTTGCTGGAGTACTTGTTAAGTCTATCTACTTGAAATTAAAGCATCTGAGGTTCTTCAGATTAGTACTCTAATTTTTAAATAAAAATGTTGAAGTCCAAGAAGAAAATATGTTCACCCATGAAACTAACCTGGTTTTATGGAGATTGAGATGATTTTAACTGTCCCTCCTTCATATATGGAAGCTATATCATTGGTGCACTATCATTAAGTCATAAAGTTTGAGTTGTTATTTCAATTTGGTTTCTTATAATAAGGGTGGATTTATATCAGTTCATCCACCCTCACTCATTTACCAGCTATTGTGATAAATTCCATGGATTTTTATATTATTGGTCATAGGTCTAGATGAAATAAGTGAAGAAATTAAAATTGGTTCTTGATTCTTTCTTTAAAGGTATAAAAAACAGCCCTGGCCAGTTTGGCTTAGTGGTTAGAGCATCAGCCTGTGGACCAAAGAGTCCCAGGTTCAATTCTGGCCAAGGGCACCTACCTTGGTTGTAGTTAGTCCACGGCCCCGGTAGGGGTCATGTGGGAGGCAACCAATCAATGTGTCTTTCTCGTATAGATGTTTCTCTTTCTCTCTCTCTTCCTCCCTTCTTCCCTCCCACTCTATCTGAAGATAAATGGAAAAATATCCTCAGGTGAAGATTTTTTAAAAAGGTATCAAAAACAATGCAGATATTCTTAGAAAAAATCCTAAGATCAAGACTCTTCTCATCACTGATCTATTCTTTGATGAATAGAGAAGGAGGAATTTTGCAGGAAACATAAGAGCATGGTGATCTCAGCAATATACACTACAATACTTACCATTTTGGGGGAGGGGTGTCCAATTGCTACTTTGAATACATACAGCCAGACAAGATGTAAAGTGTTATGTCCAAGTCTGTATTGATGATAGTGATTGATCTATTTCCATATTGTAGCAAGAATGATGATAGCTTATAAAAGTGGAGTCAATATATAAATTATTTGTCAACTCAATTAACCATCATCCTATGATGCCACCACGCAACAATCTGTGATAGTTAGGGCCATGTAGTGTATTTTTCTTGTGTTTTGGAAGGTATAGAATAGGGTATGATACTTTGAGCCAGTTAACTGAAGAATCTTTGAATCCCGTGTCCTAGTTTAATGTATTTTTCTTTTCTACTCCTCCCAAACTCTTTAAATGATTTTCTCAATAGGTTAATATCTGAACTGAATATCTCAGAAGACCACAACCATCCCAGTCCCTTGTCTTTCTGAAGAATTAAAGTAAATGGTCAGAAGTCTACGTTTGGGATTTTTGACTTTTTAATAAAAGATTTGGAATTTGTATCTGAATTACACAAACTAAGAATATTCTTGTAGGAGGTAGACTGAATCTAATGGGTCCTAGCTTCTGAGTATGAGCACCCCCCTTCTCCTGCATTCAAGTCTTAATACGTTTGGCTTCTTTTCAGTTTCCCTGAAAATTACAAAATGTACTTTCTGTCATTCAGGAACCCTTGCTGTGGAGCCGCTTTGATTTCAAGGGAATGCTACCTATTGTGACCAGGGAAACAAATGTTAGGCACATTTTCCATAGGTTTTAAATCCTGTTTCATATTTGTTCTGTAATCCTCAGGTAAAAACAGTCAGTTGGGAAATCTAGAAGGCTGGAAACCTGGATTTCCAGAGTGGGCATTCTTTTTCAAACTGCCTCTTGGAGGTTGTCTTCGTGTGCTAGAGGTAGCAGGGGCCAGGTTACAGCAGCGCCTGAAGCCAACCTGTTCCAACAGGCTTCATCTTCCTTTGTACAAATTTAAAAAGAATGGGTCCTCACGCAAGCATTTCAAATCCAGAGACAAATTTGAAAAAAATTGCTACAACATGTTGACTGATTCCTTGCCAAGTCAGCCACTGAGAACTTTTTCTTGATTGACTCTTACACAGTGAAAAGTAAAGGAGGTTGGGGAGAGCATGTAACTTTGTTATAAAAAAATTAAATTTCTCGATACCCCAAATCCCTCTCCCTCTCATATTTTTCTCATTTACTTTTATAATACCCCTCTTTTCTTCACCTTCATCTTCTCCCCTCTCCTGCCTTTCCCTTTTTCTCTGTCTTCTAATTATTCTTCACGATAAACTCTGTTGCTCCAATGTATTCACTTTTACTTTTAGTATCGATACAATGAAGTGTTCTGGAGAGAGAGAGTTCCAAAGATTATATTTAGATATACAGATTCAAACCAGCAGAAAGGTTAAGAACATTTTAAAAATATGCTTGTCAGCAGTGGAGAGAAAGCTGTTTGTAGCTAGCAGGTGAGTTGGAGAGTACTACAGGGTGTGGTAGAGATAGTAATAAATTAACTAGCAAGCCAAAAACTATAAAAAAAAATCAGCTATTTCATAGCATAGAAGCATGACAACTATGAAAAAAGGAGTGCCCCAGGGAATTCTTTTAGAGTTTGATTTTTTAAAATATGTTTGACATGAAAAATGTTTTAGTACAAATAAAGCAACTGGTATTAAACTTACAGGCGGGAGGGGTTGCGGTTTAGAGTTAGTATGAATAATGCATGATATTTAAAGAAAGAATAGCTCTAAAATGTTCCGGGAGGCAGTGCATGTTGATGGTTGGAATGGTGATTTCCACCGCCCCCCCCCCCGCCCTATTTTTGAAGCATCATTAATTCAGCATCGTTTTGTGATATTTTTTCTTAGCCTGATAAGATATCGACCAAAGAAATACTATTTAACTTAGATCAGAATATTTTTTCATCAGATAATTTAGTTTAAATATCAAGGAGATCAGTAGAATTATTTAAGCATAAAGCGACAGTCACTTGCTATAAAAAATAATTTGGCCTAGTTATCTTTTTTAAAAAGCTCATGTAGCTCTGCGAACCAAAATCAACCTCATGGAAGGGGAAAAACAAGATCAGATATTTTGAACATTACTCCATAGGAGACCAGCACAATATAGCGTTAGTGAGTGCATTGTAGCAGCGCTCCATATGCAATCAGAAGCCAATTGTTACTGGACTGTATACAAGCACACACTGTGCTCAATGGTCTGATGAGGTATTATGGATATGATGCAAAGAGACTGTGTAGATTAGAAGCTAACAATTTGTTAAAAGTGAAAGCAACTTAACATTCACATTGGGCCAGCTGAGGAGCCCTTCACGAGGCAAGCAGGATGAGTTCCAAGGAACCAGGGGCATCAGAAAGGCTCCAGGTATTGGTGTCCGTGCAGAAAAGAAAAAGAGGTGTTATTGCTTTCCAGTTGACTACCTTTATTACTGTGATTCTTTCTACACCGTTTCTTCATTATTACATTCGGCTTTCAGTGTGGAAAAGTTCATGCAAAACTGCGTGATTATTATAAATGTCAAAAATGTGTGGAGGAACAGCTTATTAAAATATAGCCTAGAGATAGTGCATAGCACTGACTTTAAATAAGTAGCCAAAGCCAACGTGAGACTCCATTTAATCACTGATATTGTGTAATTTATCCACAAGTATTAATTTTGATTTCAATGTAATGTATCACAATACATTCCTCATCACTTTCTCCTGGTTCTTCAGGTCACTGCACCCAGCCTGTGTTCTCAGGTCCCAGAGAGCACTTCAGTCCCCCTATTTAGGAGTGGTCTAGGGTCAGAAACACATTGAGATGTAGCACTGAGCTCTGCTGAACCATGCTCAGTCTTTTCCGGAATTCAACGTAGATATTCCATGTAAAATGTGTGGTTATTTAATCAAACCATCATCAAGGAGTCAGTAATAAATGCCTCGTGTGCATGATTCTGTATGGGATCCACCAGAAGTTAATCCAGAAAAATAATGTTTCCATTCCCATTGGGATACCAGGTATTTCACAGAGTGTTGGCAGACTGCTATCTATTTGGAGAAGTTGCATTTTTAAAATTTTCCCCTATTTTTTTTTTTTTTTTTATAAAATAAAGTTTAGGATTATGGACAGTCAATAGATCATAATCATTTTGGGGCTCTAACGCTCTGCCCTGCCTACCAAGACAAACTTTGGTTGTTCTAATACAAAAGCCTTAATGCTTTTCTCAGTGAACTGAGTGTCAGCCTGGCTTTAAGATATTTTTTTTACTCTTAAAAAAATGATGTATTACAAGATTTGTAATGGAGTGAACATGCTTGAATTGCACATTAAATTTTTTTAACATCACATTCATGTTTTGCCAGTTTGCCTACCAGCTATCTGTTAACAAAAAGTTCCAAGGCAGCACTGCAAGTCTGTGCCCAACTAAGCCTTTTGTTTCTGCAGATGTTTGGGCTGAGAGCAATGTTGTAAAGCTCAGGCAATCCAAGGACCGTGTTCGTACTTGTCGGCTGCGATTCCCTGCGCATTGTCTAAACCTGTATGCATTGTTCTCTCCGACAGGTGATAACTACCCCGTACAGTTCATTCCATCAACAATGGCAGCTGCTGCCGCTTCTGGACTCAGCCCTTTACAGCTCCAGGTAAGTGCCAGAAGAAAAAAAATGCGGGATACAGGCCAGTACTTTACTGGGAAACTGCAAACCAGCTGTATGCTAAATAATGGCCTGAATGTTAAATAATTTTTTAAGCATAGCCTACGAGGATTAACACCTTATGTACTTACCATACTGCAAATAGAAAAGTGCCAGTTTCAATATTTTGAAAGGAAAATGACATGATGACTTAATACTTTATATTCTCTATCAGGTGAGTTAATGGTTTTACAATTTCTTTATGGCTAGTTGTTATTGGTTATATTAGCTTTTTCTTGGTCTATTTTCCATCCATGTCTTAATTTATGCCAAGTGAGCTTTTACATATAAGCATCAAAACAGAAAATCATGTTGGATATTTTCCTTCTAGCAGCTCATAGAACAGGGCGTTGTTATCACCAAATTACTTTAGCTCTTTAGTAAAATGTAAGCACATTGCACCTGAGTATGTGTAGCCTCATCTCATCCTCTTCCTCACTCCAGGTGCAAAGTCTGGGCACAGTGTCAGACTAAATTCTGGATTAGCTTTCTTTACTTAAAAGCTAAACTTGAGCTCTGGCCGGTTTGGCTCAGCGGTTGGAGCATTGGCCTGCGGACCAGAGTCCCAGGTTTGGTTCCCGCGAGGGGCATGTACCAAAAAAAATAAAAATAAATAAAGAAACTAAACTTGGGGCAAAAGCGTTTAGGAAGCTGAATAAAAAATCATTTGCACCTTGTCTTCTTCACGGTAAAATGAAGGGTTTACAGTACAGTAGGAGATCTTCACGCCTGTCCAGCATCTGCCGTTTTAATAGGAAATTGACTTTAAATATGAATATGTATTTTAACAAAAAAAATTAAAATAATGGTTAGACCTTCAGAATTTAAACACTTAGAAAATAGGTGATAATAATCAACGTTAATTTCAATGCAGTGGAAAGTTTAAAGATAGGACTTTATTCTCATAATTTATTGTGATTATTTTTGAGTTTTTTAATCCAGGGACTAGCATCTGACTAGAAATTTGACTTTGTTTTTTTCTATTCCCTACATAACTTCAACATAAAAATGTACAAATATTTTACTATGAAAACATTATTTTGAACATTTTTCAATTGGGTCTGCAAATAAGAATGTTTGCAACACTTTGAGAAGTGTCTAGCATAAGCCTCATCTGGAAAACCGTGAAGGTGTTCCTCTTTATCACTGCCCAGCGGAACTAGAGATGGCACCTTCCAGGACCAGTAACCCTACCTCTCTTCCAAACCTGCGCTTTCCCCACTACTAACACGGGAACTTACTGAAGCTGGTGAACTCTGGAAACGAAGCCTCACCAATAGGAAACCTAATCTGTTTCTCCTGTTTTTGGATAGCTAGGCTGTAGAGCGTAACCTACAGAGGCAGGATTGGAACCAGTACCATTGTTTAATCTTATGACTAAGTTTCTTTGAAGGAGCATCTGGGTCCTAAACTTTCTACTTTCTATTCTTTGGTGTGGTCAATACCCTGGATTTAGAAATATGTGATCTGTTTCATGAGTTCTGACAGTATGTTTTGTCTTTTTTTTTTTTTTTTTTCTGAATATGCTACTAAACAGAAGGGTCATGTCTCCCACCCACAAATTAACCCAAGGCTAAAGGGCCTAAGTGACCGTTTTGGCAGGAGTTTGGACACTTTTGAACATGGTGGTGGCCACTCTTACAACCACAAACAGATTGAGGTATGAATCCTTCCATTGATGCTTCATTGGGTGGGGGACTGGATTGTTCGATCATATTCTAGGCTTTTTTAAAAAGTGGCAAACATTAGCCCTGGCCGGTTTGGCTCCGCGGTTAGAGCGTTGGCCTGCGGTCCAGAGAGACCCGGGTTCGGTTCCTGCTAAGGGCATGTACCTCGGATGTAGTTTGTCCCCGGCCCTGGATGGGTCATGGGGGTGGCAGCCGCTCGATGTGCCCCTTTCACGTCAGTGTTTCTCTCTCTCTCTCTCTCTCTCTCTCTCTCTTCTTCTTCTTCTTCTTCTTCCTCTTTCTTCCTCCCACTCTATCTAAACAAAAAATGGGAAAATGTCCTTGGTTGAGGATAAATAAATAAATAAATAAATAGTGGCAAACATTAAACCTAAACACTAAAACATAACCATTTTGTATTTCTCATTCCTAAGGAGGCTCATTTTTGCTCCTTTCCTTTTATAAAAAAGACAAATGTCAAACCAATATCCCCAAATTAGGTTTTTAATTCCTATATTTGTATTTAGGCAAATTCTTCACATTAAGAGTGTCTTCAAACCACCTTTATTTTTCTTACTTTTTTAAACCTTTTTAATGTATAGTGATATATCATGTTTTTTAAAAACAAAAACAAAAAACAATGAAACATTTAAAAAGTCTCATTTGACCATATAACAACCATGTAGAGTTGATAGAAAATAATTCTGCTTCTACAGGCAAACAACAGAGGTTCAGAGAGGCCAAGGTATTTAACAAAGGCTCCAAAATAGTCGCAGAGTCAGAGTTTTTACCTTGGATTTCTGACCTGAGCTAAGTCAGGTTTCCGAATTTAGTTTTCTCAGGCTGAAGTAGGGAAGGGCCTGGGCCTGACTAGCTGCTTTCTGATTGTATTTCTTTCATATTTAACTTCCAATAAAGCCCTTTCTGTTTCGTGTTTCATGTCTGTGGGGTATTCTTACTACTTGGGAGACGATGGCGTATATGGCTCTTTTGAAAACCAAGTCCTTTTCTTCTACAGGGACCTAGTTCTTTAATTTCACGCCCAATTCCTCCCCTATATCGGCGGCATTCCTCTCTGGGACTATCCGCTGCTGGAGAGTTGCCAGCTATCTGTTGAATCACAGAAAACACGGAGACAGGCCACCTCAGCCTGAAACACACGTTAGCTTTCTGGGTTAGATGTAACACTGCATTTTATATTCTAACCTAGGATGGGAAACTCAATTCAGAAGAAGAAAATAATTACAGCCAGCAAAAGTTGTATATTCATTTGTGTATTCCGTTGGCTCTGCCAGTCTGTACATATTAAATACTCTACAGTCAATAAAGTGTCTGTTTGATGTCTTCTCTGCTGCTTTTGAATCTGAATTTTTGGAAAATGATAAGGTTTATTCCTAACAAGAAAGAAGAGCATGAGATCAAAGGCCCCCTTGGAAATAGCCTACGGAAGATTTCCAGAGCTCGTGGCCCACCGTCCTCTTTCCCTTTCGCTCCGACAGGAGGTGCACAGGGGGTTTCCACCCAGGCGTGACCAGGCACATACTCTCAGAGTATCTGCCGTCTCCTGTGTTGCCAAAAGAGATTTCTTTTCCAAGGCTTTTGCATGCAGGAAAGGTGCCATATTTGCAGACATTCTGAAAACCTACTATGCTTAAGATTGATTGTTAAATAGAGAGAGAACTGGACATTAAGAACAAGCCTTTCTGTTTGATGACAGGTGGCAGGCTAACCCTCTCAGGACAGAGAGTTGGTTAAATGTTTAAGTGTGGAAGAAAGTGAAAGCAGGTGGCCTTGGCATGACGTAAGACTTCTTCTCCTCTTCAACTTCTATTTTCACTTGAGGTGTTGAGGTCTATCCCATCAACCTTCTCTTAGCCAGTTTTCTACCCAACTTTTCTTTCATTAATTTTTCAGAAGTCACTTAAGTTGACTTCTTTCTGTCACAACGTCACTGGCCCTTGATGCTATCAAGTCTGGCTTCTGCTGGGCTTTCGGTTCCATGATGTCATACACACGAGTGCCAGGTCTGGGTAGAGTGTGCGGTGCTGACCGGCAAGCACAGCATAGGCAGATGTCTGTCACTTTTATTAAGCTCAGTAGAGAACCCATTAAAGCAAGAGCCCTCACAGCTTTGCAGTTGAAGTTTGGGCTGGTTTGAGAGTTTCCTGGGTTTTTGTTTTTCCTTGCTCTGTTTTCTTGCTCCCATTTTTTGCAACTTTTTCCTGCATGTCGGGAAACTTGAGCTCTGTTTGTTTGTATGGTACCCTGGTTCGAAAAGATTGACCTTGTTTGAAAGACAGATTTACTAAACTCTCCAGGTATTAGTATAACATGTTTATTAAGACGTTTATGAACAGCACAGTTGACACTCATATCTAAGCTGCTACAGACATTAACATTTTAAATCTTGAGCTAGAGAGAAAATTTAATAATATCTTGCTTTATTAATTTTAAAGTCTGTTTTCTTTTCTAGCTAAGGTTTTCTCCCCTTCTTTGGCAAGCTAAAATGTCACAGTTTGGTCAACAATCATGATCATGATAAACTGTTGATACTAAGGAAGCATTACAATTATGTTAACTGGTTTTCTTTCTAAACAGAGATTCTTAGTAAGAAAAGTCCACAACATACATGTACACCCTCTCTCCCCCCCGCTGCCCCCCGCCCCCCCCCCACACACACGTGACTGCATTGCTCAGCACTGGTCCTGTCTGATTTCACAGTTATCTTGTGCTTCAGAGGTTGTCACTTCTAACATTAATAAACCTGGGTACATTGTAACAGCATTTATAGTTATACCCTGGAAGCCTAAATTTTTCTTATCAAGTAGAAAAAAGGTATTTAAAGTGGAAATACCCTCTTTACATTAGTGTATTGCAGTTCTTTCTTTCTTTCTTGAGAATAAAGAAATGCAGGAAAGATTTTGTTGTTGCTTTTTGTTTTCTGTGCTAATCTAAGGCATGGTTTTCTCTGCCTCAGGGGCACAATATCAGAAGAGAGCAGGCCAAAGAATGCTATTTTTAGTTGAACAGTTCAGCAGATGGAGTCATGAATACTCATATATCTGAAGGTTGAGGGGCCTGAACCATTAATTTTGATAATGTATTTAACCCTGGGAACAATCAGAAACTGTAACTCTAAGGTTACAGTGCTTTTGACCTTTAGAGAACAGAGGGCATTTGCTACAGTAAACAATATATTATATTGCTACTTATTCCAATTCTCTACCCGTATAAATTTCAGGACCAGTTGCCATTTGCCTTCCTCAGCTATGTTAGCATTGGTCCTTCAAGTAAGTCAAAAAGAATCTGAAGGCAGGGGGACCATATAATGAAGCGGTCATGTAAATATGGCCTTTAAATAGCTAAGATGTTGGATTGTTTCTGAAGGAATATTGTCTTGGAAACTAAGCTCTGAATGACGTTGTTGTTTTTTTAAGGAAAAAGTGGTTTCAGTGTATTGATTCATTATATGTGATGACTTTCAATGTGATAGATCCTTAAGGTGATCTTGTTTAGATTTTTTTTTTTTAATTGGGAGTAATGTTGCCTCATAGTTGTAGATTATAGTAAACACAATCTGGTATCATGTCATGCAAAGTGATACACCTGTCTCGTGCCTTCTTATTAAATGATACATGCTCTCTTTAGCAAATAGAGCAGTTAAATATCACAGAGCTTAAGAATTTCTAATTAAAATATCTCTACATGTCAGCATATTGGTAATGTATTATTTTAATCCATTTATTTTGTTTATGAAACAGTGACATATGTTTAGATTGTGAAATATATGAACCTTAAAAATCACTTTATTGAAGAAAATTAATTCCTACAATACTGTCTCAGTAATGTGCTCACTCACCCAGCCAGTCACAGGCGGCACTGCCAGTCTTAATGTTAGGTAGACATACTTACCAGTTTTATCTGCACAGCAGTCTTGGAAAGAAGTGATAACAGTCCTTTCTCTTAGCTCCAAATGATAAGGCTTTCTTTCTTTACTATTTTTTTATTCATTAATTCAAAGCTATCCCCCCAAAACATTTTTTGTTGCTTCCTTTTCTTCTTCTTCTTCTTTTTTAATACAATGAAGGATGGGGCTGAGTGTATGTATAAGGGATTCTGAAAGACCAATCAAAATTAAAAACAAGCTAGTTACCTTTTCAAAGTTAGACATAGTAATTTGTTTGTCAGCAGGGAGATGTTTGGGTCAGCCCCGAGATACAGTGACTGTCAGCAGTTATTCCTACAAGACAAGTAATTTCCCTCAATGTATTACTGACAGATTGCTCACTTCTCTGAATCACTGGAGAAAACAAACTTAATATTGTTTCAGGCAGAGTTTCTGTCTTCATTAGCCTCAGAGAATGATTTTTATCGAGCATTCAAAGCCTACCAAGCTTTAGTTGGGACATATTTTAACAGACACGTTCTTATAATGATAGTATGGGTAGTCCTCTAAATGAAAAGAATTAAATATGAAAAAATTTAAAAAACAATATAAATGCATGTTCACTTTTATTTGATGGGCATTATGTGTAGTTTAGGGGAGATGTGAGGAAAGGAACATAATTGGAGCCTTAAAACACTAGGAAAATCTATCAGCCATAAGTTATTCTTAAATGAAACTATTAAAGTCTTGCCAAGTTTGCAGAGATGGAGAACAATTGAAGTTTTTGCAAAAGTGAAGAAAAACACATATTTTATTTAAATGATATTGTCAGTTTCCATGCTACAAATGGAAAGTGAAGAAGTGCCCATCAACATTGAGAATGCTCTATCTCGATTTCAGTTCCAGCCTGAATCTTTATGGTATTGTATTTAGATGTTCTTCCTGGCTCCTACCCTGTCTCATTGTTTGCAGTTGCAAACATGTCTCAGTACTGTGGAGGGATGGGAGGGAGAGTTAGTTTTTCTGGGAGGGCTGGAGAGGTTGTGATTTCTAATAGAGAGTCGAATAAAGAGTTGATTAGGGTGACCTATTACTGGCTACCCAGTG